CTCTCCAATGGTCTCTGACTCTCTCTAACTCTTTGGCGAAGACTCTAACCTTCCCTGAACTCTCTATGCTAGAATCCCTTGAAACTGAGGTGGAGCTGCCTATTTATAGAAGCTAGAAACTGGTCTTGAGGTGGCAGGCTTGGAATTGGCCAATTAGGGCCTTTGCTGCATTTGTGGACCAATATGATGCAAGGAAGGAGTTGACGTGGTTTAGCCATCGTCCCAACACCATCACCATTGTCCGGGCGGTGGCAATCTTCTAGTTTCCTTCTTGGTTTACTTTATGAATTGTGGTGATATTTGCACTTTCCTCCCTTACGGATTTAAGCTTGCAAACTTTGATCCTCCCCTACTAATATTTGCACTTTCCTCTTATCTGATAATGGGGCTCAATTTGAAAGCAGTCCATTCAAAACTTTCTCTCAGCAATATGGAATTCAGACTTGGTATTCTACCCTTGCTTACCTGCAGAGCAACGGGCAGGTAAAGATATTTGATGCAATGCAATCTGATCCGTAGAGCATAAATGGAGGCCCTATGACTCGAGCAAGAGCAAAAAAGATGAAGGAAGCATTGAACAGGTTGATTCAAGACACATGCGCTAATTGTGCAAGTTCAAGCATCGAGCATGATCCACTTGGGCAACGAAGATCCATCAACATGATTCAAGTTCTAGAAGATTCCGGCAAAGGATAAGCTTAAAATTGGCATGTTTAAAATTGGTCTAATTATAAGACTTTCCTTATCTATCTAGGCGTGTGAGTTATTCTTTTTAGGAAAGAAAGACTTTCCTAGTTTAATTAGGCATGTGATCAGCAAATTAAAGGGCTGATTGTGTTTTTCTCTTTTAGGAATATAAGAGTTATTTCTTTACCAGCAAGCAAGAGATATTTCTTTACCCACAAGTAAGAGATATTTCTCCACTAGCAAGGGATATTTCTTAAATAGGATAAGCTAATTTAGGAAGTTTTCTTTGTAATAACCACCTATAAATAGGCGTTCAAAGCATTGTAAAAGACAGTATATTTTTATGAGTATTGTGAGGTTTCTATCTTATTGTTCTTCCAAGAATTATTTCAAGAACTTATCAAGAATGAATCTTTCTTGTGTCATTCATCGACTTAACCCGCAATCTTGAGTGTGGCGTCTTTCTCTTGAACTTTTAACCTTGGGTTCTTGTTTCTTGCAAACATTGGGTCTAGGGTTCTTGGTTTTTATAATCTGATTTGTGAACTTTCTTAGGGAGTCTTGAATCAATTTGCTCATGGGTTCTTGAATTCATTCATGGGTTTGCATCAATATCGAATAAAACAATTCTAGATGGAGTCAAAAAGAGATTAGAAAAGGCGAAAGGAAAATGGGTAGAAGAGTTGCCTAGTGTATTGTGGATGTACCGAACCACACCCCGCCATGCAACGGGGGAAATTCCATTTGGGCTCGCGTATGGCATGGAGGCTGGGATACCCTTGGAAATCAGACTTCCAACACCCAGAACTAGCTTAGCAGAGAATGAGAATAACAGCTTTGCTATTAGTCAAGAGCTTGATTTTCTTTAGGAAAATAGGGAGACGGCAGCAGTTCGGATAGCTGCCAATCAGAAACAAATAGCTCGATCCTACAACAAGAGAGTAGGTCTTCAGTCATTTATGCTTGGGGACCTAGTCCTCAGACGTGTCATGGGAACTGCCAAAGAACCAACCCACAAAAAGTTGGGTGCTAATTAGGAAGGACCTTACAAGATAACTCGGGTCATAGGAAATGGATCTTATGAGCTTGAGACTATAGAACAGAGGCGAGTACCTATGCCTTAGAATATAGCTAATATATGAAAGTTCTATTTTTGAAGTACCTTCACAAATAAGAACTCTGAAGTACATTTGGAAAATAGGGTGCCCCCTGTTATTTCGTAAAGAGAATTCCTCTATTAGGAATAATCTTTTTATGTAAAGCATTTCTTTTATAATAAGATTACATGTTAAAACGTTTGTTAAATGCCATTGTTTGTCATCCCCACTGTACTGCTAAGGTAGGGAGGCAAAAATCCTTATAGAGGCATAGGACTAAATCAAACATTGCCACCTGATCAGATCTAGGCCCATGGTTAGTCATGATGATGTAAACCAAATGGGCAATGACCTAAGCCCGATTAGATGGGCAGGTCAATACGAACGTAAAAACTTCTTGAAGAGAGGCCTAGAGGGCCACTATCTCTTTGAGAAACCTCTGTAGAAGTCCCTATCAAAGGTGCGTGGGACCTATAGCTCTAGAGAGGGCCGAACAGAGGCGAAAGCTTCTTAGAGCAAGATATGAAATTTACTAAGTAAAAGTCACTAGAAGAGGTGCGTGGCACCTAGCTCTAAAGAAGGGCCAAACATAGGCCAAAGCTTCTTATAGCAACATATGAAATTTTTTCTAAGTAAAAGTTCCTAGCAGAGGTGCGTGGGACCTAACTAAGTGAAAATTCCAAGCAGAAGTGAGTGGGGCCTAACTCTAAAAGGGCCGAACAGAAGCCAAGACTTCTTAGAGCTACGAATGAGATTTTTTCTAAAATCCCTAATAGAAACACTTGGAACCTAGAAAAAAAATTGAATCCAAGAAAGAGTTATTTCAAAGATGCCAAATTTTTACATAAAAATATAAAAAGGTTATTTTTCAAGAACAGCTTAGAAGTAGGAGGCACATTAGCAGCTTTCAGAGCAGCAGCCTAGCCTTTTGAAAAGTATGCTCTTTCCAGTAAAGGGATTTTCAAAGCTAGGTCCCTCTCTGTCTTCTCCATTCCCTGCTCAAAAATAACAACTTCAAGATCCATGACTTCAGCCTTGAATTTATCAAACTCATCCAACAAAGTGGAATGTTGAAGTTGGGTCTAGGTTAGATCTACATTGAGAGAACTCTTTGAAGCCTTCAACTCCTCCACTTCTGTTGCCAACTTTTTATTCTCATCTTTTAGGCTAAGTGATTGAGCCTGAAGAACCAGCATTTCCTCACAAAGCTTGGCATATTCTTCATCAACAAATTCTTTCTTCATCATTAATTAGCACAAAATATTGCACATTATGTATGTTTTTATATCCCTTTTATACTTGCTTTTGTTGTGAAAATGGGAGGAAATGCAATTAATCAAACAATTAATTATGTTGTTCTGTGATTGTAGGTAAAGAGTTCGAAATGGCTTGAGTTAATCCCCCATCATAGTGCTCAAAATCAATGGAGTTGAGGGGGAGGCTCAACGGGAAGCTTAGAAGGTGAAATGATGAAGAAAGGAGCAAACCAAGTAAAAACCTACCAGTAGGTTTTGCACACTGGAGTTGAATCTACCATAAACCTTTTGGAAGGTTTTGCTCACTGGAAAAAAACCTACCGGTTGGTTTTTGATCAACCTACTAGTAGATTTTGCTGAAAAGCGCCAGATTATACAACTCAAACTCCACTTGCTTGGGGGGGCCACCATTGCTTCTCCCACACATCTCCTAACATTTTCTACATACAACCATGCCTATAAGTCCCTAGCTTCTGACTTTTGAGGTTGGAGGCTGGGAAATGAAGAGAGAGGGGGAGGGAGGCATGGGGAGTGTAGGCTATGTTTGTCCTAGCCTATCCAAAGCATCATCTCACCTCCCATTAATGGGAGGCCAGCACACATGGGCTATAGGAGCCTCATGGACAAAAATACAAGAAAGCAACACCATTGGAGACAATTATTCATCATTTCAGATAGAGAAGCTCAAGGAAGAAGACATAGTTTAGAGATAGAAGATTGGATTTTTGCATTTTCTTAACCATTTCACTTTGTAGTAAGCTGCAATACTCTTGTAATCTTCATTTATTGCACATTGATGTCATTTATTTCAAGTGTATTTCAAGTTTAGTTATGTTTCTTTGAATCTACCAATGTTATATTTAAGTTTTTTCTTCTCAAAGCTTTCCAAATGGGTATTAAATACACTTATCTTTGTAGTTAACTTTTCTTTGCATTAATACAAGTTTTAATCTTCATTTCATTAGCATGTCTTTTATCATTGTGTATGTTTTTTCATTTAATATGAGTAGCTAAGTTTTAAGTTGGCTAATCCAAGGGAGATTTTCTCTAGGGTATGCTAAATCAACTCTCCTCCATTATTCCTTGTAGTGTAAAGTGTTTGGTTTGACTAGGTTGAGTGCGGACGGGGTTGTGAGCTCTTGATACACCGTAGACTTGTCACAGGATATGCTTGAGCCCCCACCTCCATTTAGTCCCTCACTTCCAACGAATCAATCGAACACCTAAGCACCATAGGAAGAATGTTTTGAGTTGATTTGACATTCCCAATAGAATAACCCCTTCGGATTAGCCAACCTTGTTTCCAGTACATTTTAATCAAAAACTTCACTCACCAAAACACAAATTCACAAGATTTTACACTTTTTCATTTTTACAAAATCACCTTCACACAATTCAACCTTCCTTCCTTGAGGAGACGACCTTGGAATACTCAATTTCAAGTTAAATACAACACTCAAAAGTCTCTCTTCACATGAAGAACACTTTTGCAAGCACACATTGTCATCCACACACATTTTCCCCATTTCTTGCATAAACCCGAGGGAGAGTGACACTCACCTACACACATAAGCCACATACACTTAGTCCAGGTTAGTGTTTGGAGATTAGGGCGAACACAATCAAGAAGCCATAGCAGACATGCATTCGTGAATCGTCTCTTTCATTACCCTATCCTTTTAAACAATCCTTGCCCCTACATCATGCACTTTTTGAAGACCCTTTAAAAAAAGAGGGGGGGGGAAGAAATGAATAAAGATGCAACCAAGTATAAAATAAAAAGGAATCAAGGCAAATACCAAAACCATCTACTGAATGGCTTGCCGAGTAATCTCATCATTTGAAGTCGCCTTGTTCACAACAAGATCGCAAGGTAGAATCACACCCTTGGAAATCCCCACTACAACAGTCATATCCTCGGTAGCTAAGTCCCAAATGCTTATTTGTTTACCATTCACTTTCAATACAAGGCGAAAGGCAAGAATTGACCATTCAGCTGTAGGGGGGACTCGGTCATTCGTTTCTTCTTCACCAAATGCTCCTCGAGTTCTGTATCAATTGAACAAGGTGGTGAGGAGACAACCAAAGGGGCAGCATGAATTGCATCTGAAGAAGGCTCAAGAGGAGGAACTAGAACCTCAAAACTAGCATGTGGCTCAATAGGTAAAGGGGCATCATCAGAAAGAGGCGTTAGATCAATTTCTGGGGTAGGTAATGGAGGTGCATCATCATAAATATAGACGGTCAAGAGAATAACTGCAAAAAGCTCAATTGTAGAAAGAAAACTCAAAAAAATTTCATCGAGCTATTCCTTCCAGAAGAGATGGCAGACTTTTACCAGGAACGAGAGATAACAGCACGCTGGGTTCACAGTGCATCTTGGTCTTCGACAAGCGTGGCATTGGCTCAATCAGGAATAGCAATAAACGAGTAATACGTAGGAGTATATATCCCAGGAAGACATGGGCAGCTCGGCAAAATAGGCTATCTTTGAAGGACCACACTTTTTTCAGGTCATCCATTTTCACTAAGCGCTCAGAGATTTTGGCAATTTTGCCTTTCATAGTCTCCCCTATGTGAAAAAGTAAAAGAAAGTAATAAAAATATATAATACGTTGGGCCAAAACTAAAGAAAACTATGATTATATACCGGGCATGCCTTCTTCATACAGGCATCAATAAGAAAGGGTATCTCCCACCTTGTACTCCTAGATCCCAGAAATGAAAATGATGTCATTCTCGTGTCCCTTATTCAAATCTGGGAGGTGGGTTACCAAGTATCGATCTTTCTTGCTCATCCCCAGGTAGTAGCAATCATCAACTGTCTTCTGAATATAACAGAAGAGGATCTCCCATATACCAAGATTAACATTTAGAAGGTTTTTCAAGACAGCAACACCCATAACTATCCTGAAGAAGTGGGGACAGCATTGTATAGGGCACAACTTCATGGCAGAAAGTACCCACAACAACAGTGGGTGCAAAGGAAATCTCACCCCCACTTTCTGTAATTGCCCTTGTGTTGATGGGAATCAACACCCTTGTGCCAATCAATGGTTCATTGGTGCCAGCTACTCGAATATGAATGTCGTCAAGAATGTTATATTTAGTCCTAAAAGCTGGAATAGCTTCTTTCGTAAGGGGAGCCATTTGGTGAATAGGAAAAACAAGAATGCAAGTAAAACAATACTTTTTGAAGAGAAAAAGGATGGGAGAGTTATCTTATACTCCCGTTTAAAAAAGGTAAGGAATAACAAGAAAAGAAGTCAAACGATGAGCATTTAATGTGAAGAGACAATGTAGAGTACATTGCACGTCTCAAGAACCCAGGCAATGATGAACATGGAGACATGAAACCACTATCAAGCGAATGACGGCTGACATGTGTTTTGATGCAAATCATAACCTAACTTCAAGGGATTTAGTTCAAGTTCCAAGTGGGCCGGCTACGAGAGCACGAGCAAGGAAGTTTAAAGAGGTACTCAATGGACTAATTCAAGAGGCATGGAATCAAGCAAGTTTGTGGAGGCCCATTGACCATGATCCACTTGGGCAACAAAGATTCATCAACATGATTCAAGTTCTAGAAGAATCCAGCTAGGGGCTAAGGCTAAGATTCAATTGGTTTATTTTTGTTAAGGCCTCCAATTTGTCTAAAGGATTAGAATTATTAATAAGTGGGCTTGAGGATGCTTAGCCCACATGTTTTATTTCTTATGAAGTAGGGTTTTCAAAGTTACTGTAGAGTGCACTGTTCATGCTACAGTACGTGCACTATTCTTTATTTTTAGGGTCTAATTGTAAGGCTTGTATGCCAAGTACTTTCATTTTTCTATTTAGGCATGTGCTTAGCCATTTAAAGGGCTGAATGTCTTTCCTTTTTTCTTCAAGAGTCTTAGGAAAGTAAGAGATATTTCTTTACCCACAAGTAAGAGATATTTCCTAAGTAGGATAGCTATTTTAGGAAGATTCCTAATCCTTGTAATGACCAGCCATTCAGATCAATGAAAATTTAGATCATTATTCAGCAAATTTTGAGAGTGTTTTTCTCTTTGGTTCTTTGAAGAACTAAACGAACTTATCGGAATTCTCCGTGGCGTTCACCAACGATTTATCAAACGGGTTTGCACACCGTTTGTGGCGTCTTCCTTTATACCGAGGTTCTTGTTTCACAAACAGTGGGTTGAGGTCTATATACCAAGGTTCTTGTTTGTTGTAAACAATGGGTCAAGGTCTACCATAAAATCTGTTCGTTAAACGATCTTGGGTTCTTTTCGTAGTTGGTTCTCATTATTCCGGCGGGTAACACATCATTTGGTATCAAAGCTAAGGCTCGAGTTCAGGTTTGCCTGTCACTTAAAACCTTTCTCTTCGTTATTCCTTGTTCCTTTCTTTTCGTTATTCTGTGTTCTTTTAGTTCCTAAAAATTCGGTTCACATACCCTTAGTGTAGCTGAATTTCCTTTACCCTATTTCGCTCATATTTTGTTGGTTCTACTTATTACAAATTCATATTCTGGTACCACAAAAGTTAGTTGCTGGTCAAAAAAAAAAAAGGAGCTAGAGACAAAAAAGAAAAAGCCAGATTGTTTGTGTTCATCCATTGTCCAAAAAAAAAATCAGATTGTTTGTAAATCATCCATCTTGGGTCCAATAAGTCCGAAAACCATCTCACCCCAAAATCAGGTTTTTCTTTTTGGAAGTCTTGCAAATTTGTGCTTCTGAAAATCTAATCAGCTGTGTTCCTTGAATTCTTGCTCTTCAAACCTGAAATTCCTTGATGAGTTCTTGGTGAATTGTTGCTGGAAATTTTGAGAATTGTTTGTTTAGTTTCAGAAGAACTGAAAGAGAAATTATTGAGTGGAAAAAGGCAAGAGTGGTGAGAACATTGGAGGGTTAAAAAAAAAAGCCATGTATTTTGAGTGAAACACGAGTGTAGAGTGATCCACATTCTTGAGTGTAAACACATAAGGGAGAGAATTGTGAGGTTCTTTTATTATTATTATTTTTTTGTTTCTAACTTTGTTTTGCAGCAATCATGTCTCACAACAATGATACGGATCTTGCTGACCCAAAATTGTTTATGGAGGCCATGATGAGTGAGATGAGGCGTGTGATGAAGTTGGAACTAGAGCAAGTTCATGAACGGATAGATCAGATGGAGAAAACACAAGAGAGGCAGCCACAAAACGTCCCTAATGTGCGTAGAAGGGAAAGAGTTCAACCAAGGGAAGTAAGGGAAGAAGATGAAGAGCCTTATGGGGCTGGTTTTAATGAAGAAGATGATCAGAATTCTGTTGTTAGGAGACATGTAGGGCAGTTTAGAGAAGCTAGGAACCGGGAAGATAACAACTTGGGTGGTATTAAGATGAAAATTCCATCCTTTCAAGGTAGATCCGATCCTGAAGCATACCTTGAGTGGGAGAAGAAGATGGAGTTCGTATTTGACTGCTATAACTATTCTGATGCAAAGAAGGTAAAATTAGCAGTGATTGAGTTTTCTGACTATGCTATTACTTGGTGGGATCAGCTTGTTATAAACCGGAGGCGAAATAGAGAACGTCCAATAGAGACATGGGAGGAGATGAAAACGGTGATGAGAAAGCGGTTCATTCCAAGCTACTACTATCGAGAGTTGTACAAAAAACTACAAGGTCTTAGACAGGGAAGCCGGAGTGTGGAGGATTACTACAAGGAGATGGAGATTGCTATGATCCGAGCTAATGTAGAGGAAGATCGAGAGGCTACCATGGCTAGGTTCTTACTTGGATTAAACCGGGAAATCCAAGATAAGGTGGAGATGCAGCATTACGTGGAGTTGGAAGATATGGTGCACATGGCCATCAAAGTGGAGCAACAACTCAAGAGGGGGGTGGGTCACGTGCAGCCCATAACCCTAGTTCTAATTCTTGGAAATCGAGTTATACCAAGCAACTGGACAAGTCACCAACGTCCAAAGCCGAGCCCAAGTCCGCGAACACCAGCCACATTCCTCAAGGTAAAACCGACTCTTCTACCTCTAGGAATCGTGACATTAAATGTTTTAAATGTCAAGGCAGGGGACACATAGCAAGTCAATGTCCAAACAAACAGGTCATGGTGTTGCAAGGCAATGGTGAAATTGTGACCGACGAAGAAGATTCTGACACCGATGGCATGCCACCATTGGAGGACGTTCCCGAGGAGGAATATTTAGCCCCTGATGCATTGACATTGGTGGCAAGGAGAGCATTGAGCGTGCATGCGAAGGAGGTTGATGAAGTGCAGCGGGAGAACATCTTCCACACTAGGTGCTACATCAAAGACAAGGTGTGTAGTGTAATTATTGATGGTGGTAGTTGTACTAATGTTGCAAGCACAATTATGGTGGAGAAGTTGGGACTACCCGTGTTGAAGCACCCTAAACCATATAAGTTGCAATGGTTGAATGATAGTGGTGAGATAAGGGTGAACAAGCAGGTGTTAGTTGCATTTCGAATTGGTAAGTACAAAGATGAAGTGTTGTGTGATGTAGTACCAATGCAAGCTGGACACTTATTGCTAGGGCGTCCATGGCAGTTTGATAGGCATGTGAAGCATGATGGCTTTACAAACAAATACTCCTTTGTGCTTAATCAACGATCAATCACTCTTGTACCATTGACACCGCAGCAAGTATATGAGGATCAAGTGAGATTGCAAAAAGAGAGTGATCAAAAGAAAGAGAGTGAACCAAAGAAAAAGAGTGAAAATCAGAGAGAGGCCGAGAAAAATGAGAGAGAAAAAGAAAATCAAAATGCGGCCATTGAAAAAAAATCAGAGAGGAAACAAAAGAATTTCTATGCAAAAGTGAGTGAGATTAAGAGAGCCATGTTTTCAAATCAGCCGATGATTGTACTTTTGTACAAAGAGGCACTTTTAAACACTAACGAACTTGACCTTGCTTTGCCTAGTTCTGTTGTTTCTCTTTTGCAGGAGTATGAGGATGTCTTTCCAGAGGAAACACCACATGGGTTACCTCCAATCCGAGGGATTGAACATCAAATTGATTTTGTTCCCGGTGCAACAATTCCAAACCGACCAGCCTATAGGAGCAATCCCGAGGAGACAAAGGAGCTTCAACGGCAGGTAAGTGAGTTGTTGGAGAAAGGGCATGTGAGGGAGAGCATGAGCCCATGTGCTGTTCCAGTTTTAATTGTACCTAAGAAGGATGGGACGTGGAGAATGTGCGCCGATTGCCGGGCCATCAACAACATAACGGTAAAGTATCGTCATCCT